TATCCTCCTAACTGAACATATGTCACATTTCGAACAAAGTTGACGATCTATACGCTATTGTTGAAATGAACAGTCCCTCCTTGATTATGATTACAGAGTCCTGGCTGAATACAAATATACCCGACTCTGCTATAAGCATTGGAAGAATGTTCAATACCTATCGGCGGGACCGACTTACACCAGGAGGGGGTGTATTAGCATATGTGAACGCTTGTATACCAACTACATGTCTAAAAAATTTAGAAGAAGATAACAGAGAGGTCCTATGGCTGCTTCTTAAACCCCCCAGAACCCCTAGGCCTTTTAGCGTTATAGTGGCAGTTGGCGTCTACTTCCCCCCAGGGCAGTCGGCAGAAAGTGAAAGAGAACTGATTGAGTATATTACTAGGGGACTTGATTCTGTCTTACGAGATTACCCGTCTGCTGGTGTATGCATAATGGGAGACTTCAATCAAATGAAGCTGAGTAGACTATGCAGAAGATTTAACTTGAAGAAGTCTGTAAAAGCACCGACAAGAGGCACCAGAGTTTTGGACCAAATACTAACGAACATGTCAGATTTATATAAAGAAGTGGTGCACCTGCCTCCAGTTGGTCGCTCTGACCATCAATGTTTGTTGTATAGTCCCAAAACAATACAAACCGTGAAGCCTTCTACTCGAAAAGTGCGCCTAACGAAACCATGTAACCTAAATGCACTCGGCCTAAAATTAAACCTTGAGGACTGGAAATCAATATTTGAGGCTCGAGATATCAATAACAAAGTTAGTCTTTTTACAAATACTATAATAATGATGATATAATAATGATGAGTGGTCACGCTTTGAGAAGCTCCGTGTATTTGTGTTTTATTTTAACTCTAATATTGTTAATACATACTTGGAGTAGTTACATAAACGATGCCAAGAATAAGAAACCCGAAGAAGCAACTTGCTATTCAAGAGAGGAGATATTCGAACGAATGGTTGAAGGATCTAACGCTCAGATAAGTATCACAGCTTATTATAAAGTAAAAAATATCAACTCGTTAAAGAAGCGAACAAAATACATCGGACAAAACGTGAGTTATTATCCTAATTCTGTTAAAACATTCAAAATAATACAGACATGCGGTGATATAGAGTCGAACCCCGGGCCGAAAAAAACGAGTACTGCTGAGAAACGTCGGAAATATCCGTGCAAAGAATGCAGCAAACCAGTCAAGTGTAATTAAAACGGGATGTTATGCTCGAACTGCAAATTGTGGTTTCATATCGGATGCATTGGTATTTCCAGAACTATGTTCGAATCATATTACTTAAAACACCCTGCAATCGATTGGACATGCCCTAGTTGTGAAATAAACTTTCTATCAGACAGTTTATTCGATGAAACTCAAACACAAAGCGAAGTAAACAATCAAACGGATTGTAATACAATGAATGCTAATGATCTGGCAAACAACATTTCCATAACTTCACAAACAACAGATTCTGATGATAATAACTCATTTCCATCACATTTAAAAGAACTCACCACACAGCTAAATCTATCTCTCAAGGATCTTAAAATTGCCCACTTAAATATTTGCAGCCTGAGGAACAAGATAGACGAACTAAGATACTTGCAAGAGACTTGCCAATTTGATATAATAGCTATTACTGAAAGCCATTTAGATGCCGCCGTTGCGAACACGAAAATAGCTATAGACGGTCTAAAGCTCGTTCGATTAGATCGCACTGAACGAAAAGGGGGAGGCTGCGTACTTTATTATAAGGAGCACCTGAAGCTGTTCACCGCAAAGACTTGTCAGTTTCAGGTATTGAAGCAATTTTGCTTCAAGTCAAATTTCCATCTTGTTTGGCTCTGTTTTCAGTAATGTATACAGGCCTCCTGACAGATATGATTTTTTCGACAAAATATATGACCCTCTTGAAAAAGCATGGACAAAATCATCTAATATTTTCCTACTTGGAGATTTTAACTGTAACTTTGCACAAAATGCTAACACAGAAAGCGGCCTTGAAGCTTGGGGAAATACGAAGAAACTATTAAATATTTTCCAAATGTTTGATTTGAATAATGTAATAAACGAAATGACCAGAATCACGTTAACATCAGAAAGCACCCTTTCATATTGGTGAAATCTTTGACGATCCAAATGATAAACTTTGGACATGGAAAAAACTGTTCAAAGAAATTTGTGACATCCATGCGCCTTGGAAAGAAGTGAAAATAAGGAGTAAGTCGTTACCCTGGATGAACAACACAATAAGACTTAAAATAAACAGGAGATTTAAACTCTTTAAGAAAGCTATAAAAACCAAATGCGCAGAAGATTGGAACAACTACAAGAACTTAAGAAATGAGATTACGTCAGAGCTAAGAAAGGCAAAAGCTGATTATTTCTCGAACATGTTCGGCGAGGTAACGACTTCTAAAGCATATTGGGATTTGATAAAAAAATCCGTTTCACCAAAAGTTCGCCAAAATATCGGACCTATCAAGAGAGATAATGGTACCCTAGCAGTGAACGATGAAGAAAAATCAAACCTATTTAATTCATACTTCGCAACGATAGGTGAAACATTAGCTCTTTCTTTACCTAGACCCCCGACGACCACCCCTACGCAAATGAATGACTCTAGAAGATCATCATGTGATAAAATTTGCATATCCCAAGACAACATACAGAGGTATATTATAAACATAAACCCCAAAAAGTCAACAGGACCGGACGGCATGTCCCCAAGGCTCTTAAAGTTAGCTGGAAATGCAATTATACCATCTTTAATCGATTTATTTATTTGGAGCGCCCAGGCAGAAGAAATTTTCGAAAGTTGGAAACTTGCCAGATTAACCCCGATCTTTAAAAAGGAGGCCGAAGAAGACAGAGAGAATTATCGCCCCATCAGTCTACTGTGCTTGCCGAGCAAGATCCTTGAAGAAGAGGTAAATAACACCATTGTGAAACACGTCTTCGAAGAAAATCAGTTAATGACAGATCGACAGTGGGCTTATCGTCGCAGCTATTCCACGGAACTACTTCTGGCTCACTTAACAGAAACTTGGAGAAAGGCTGTCGATTCCGGCTTAAAAGTTGCCGTGGCCTTTATAGATTTTAAAAAGGCATTTGACAGTGTATCCCACCCAATTCTAGAACACAAGCTTCAAAACGACTTTGGCATCGGTGGCAGCCTGCTCACGTGGTTAAAAATCTATCTGAGAGACAGGACGCAGTACACGGTTGTGAATGGTAAAGAATCCTCTATCGCTAAGATTACCTACGGAATCCCACAGGGATCAGTACTAGGCCCCACCCTATTTGCACTGTTTACAAACGATCTACCTGAAAATGTAGAATCTGGAAATGTTTATATGTACGCGGACGATACGACGTTATATTGTATCGGAGACTCAGCCGACGAAGTGGTATCGACACTTAACAAAGCCCTGAGTGAACTTTATGTGTGGTGCATAGCCAACCAACTAACCCCACATCCCCAAAAAAGTGAAGTGATGCTCCTCTCAAAACAACGTATAATAGGCCCACTTGCCCCAGTTTTTCTAGGAGAGCAAATGATCAAGTGGGTAAAAAAGACGAAACTTCTCGGGATGGTCGTTGATGAGAATCTCAGTTGGAATGAACATATATCGGAACTAAAACTGAATTATGTTAACAAATTAAATCTTGTAAAAACATCAAGGTTTTTGCCGACAAGTGTACTATTAGATGTATACTTTAAAGTCATTCTTCCATCCATTACCTACGCACTGGTTGTCTGGGGCGGATGTAGTAACAAGGAAAACTTCAAGTCATTAGAACGCTTGCATTGTAGAGCTGCAAGAATTATATACAAATTACCTAGATACATGCCATCGGAAGATGTGCTTTCCAAAGTCGGTTGGAACACATTATTCTTCTACTATAAGACAGCTATATTGAAACTAATTTGTAAAATAATTAAGAATGTAACACCTAACTCGATGTCAGACTTGGTAAGCAGACGAGAATGCAATTACTCTCTACGAGCCAAATACCAACTATCTGCACCCCGCTTCAATACAAAAACTCTGAAGCTCTCTATAACGTATAGAGGTGCAACCTTGTGGAATGATATAAATCGAAAACATAGCGAAATAAACATTGATGAATATGACAATGGTAACGCTTTCGTAAAAAAGGCCATAAAAACAATCACCTTCAAAGACTTTGTCTTTTTATAGACATAGTTAGTAAATAGATAGTAATTAATTCTTATATGTAATTCATAACTTTTGTATATATCTCTAAGTGCACGACCCCACAAGCTTATGCCTTAAAAATTATCGTGCTTAAATAAAGTCATATTATTATTATTAGATAAAACAATACCTGTAACCACGATACGTACCCATGCGTCTGACAAGCCATGGATGACGGCTTATATCAAAAAAGAGATTAAAGCGAGGCAAAAAGCCTATACTACTGGGAACATGACCAAATATAGACAATTGGCTGATAAGATCATTACACTTATCAAGAAAGCTAAAGCAGAATTTTATTCATCTAAGGTCAAAAGCAAACGCAAACACGATGCAGCAAAATGGCATAGAACGATATCCCAGTTAGCTGGCTTTGAAGATGACAATCTAAACAACAACTTAATCCCAGACAGCACTCCCGATACAGTGGAAATACTGCAGAATATATTTACTAAACCATGGTCAAAACTTCCTGAAACCATAATCCCTAGTCTTGAAGACGTAGCGTCATCACTGAGGCAAGAAAATCCTCCTACTCCCTCAATTGGACAGGTTAAGACTGCCTTGAAACAACTAAACTCTAAAAAAGCCACCGGGTCCGATGGGATTCCAGCATGGGTGCTTAAACGATACTGTGAAGAACTAGCGCCCATCGTTCATGACATTATTTGCGCCAGTATAAAAGAATGTGAATATCCAACTGCGTATAAACACGCCTTAGTTATCCCAGTTCCGAAGGTCAATCCACCAAGAGATATCGAGAATGACTTTCGCCAGATATCCATTCTTCCCCAAATGGCTAAAGTGCTGGAAAAGCTGCAGCTCAAACTGAACCTTCCCAGTTCACGTATAAATGATAATCAGCATGCCTTTACAAGCAAACGATCAACCGTGTCCGCACTCACCAACATCTCGCAGAACTGGTTTAATGTGACCGACAATACTCATAGCGCCAAAAATGGAGTTCATGCACTATTCATAGATTTTCGCAAAGCGTTTGACCTTGTTGACCACGGAATTCTAATTCGTAAGCTCGCAGAAATTAATGTAACCAAAGCCTTTTGGCTATGGACACGTAGTTTTCTGGAAGATAGAAGACAACAGGTCAAACTAGCAGGAACCCTATCATCGGTCAAACCTTGTCCTGCAGGAGTCCCACAAGGTTCTGTGATGTCCCCAGCTCTTTTTAATATTCACATTAACGATATTGAGAACTCAATCCCAGATGGATTATCCATAAACATATGCAAATACGCGGATGATTGTACACAGGACGAAGTGGTGTCACAAGGTTCATCCAGCCATATGCAGGAGGCCCTTGAAGCAGTACAAAGAATGGTCTAATAGGAACAAAATGACGATAAATTCGAAGAAAACAAAAGATATGTGGATATGTTTTAACACAGCAATACCGGCACCAGAACCATTGGTCATTGGAAACGAGTAGTGGAAAGAGTAAATTCTCATAAACTGTTGGGTGTCTGGCATCAAAACAATCTGAAATGGAACTGTCATGTCAAGAACATTGTAAGGAAAGCAAATAAACGAATGTTTAGTCTGAGAGAACGCCGTAGGGCGAATCTTCCTCCTGAGGTCGGTATTACATGTTATGAATCCAAGATTAGACCTGTTTTAGAATATGCAGCTCCGATATGGGGTGGTTTACCACAATATCTCATTGATGAAATAGAGAGCATTCAAAACAGATGCATCAAAATCCTCGGCACATCTCGGTGCAACTTTGAAACGCTAGAACAAAGAAGGGCACACCTAACTGTTAAGGAATACCAAAGAATTCTAAGTGATCCGACCAACCCATGTAATAAACTTATCCCCCAACCTTTTACCCATGAACACGATCTAAGAACAACAAATAATCTACCATGTGTTGTATCGTATACTAAAAGACACCGGCAATCCTTTATACCTAGAGCTATATCCCTTTTAAAACAGTCCTAAATTAATTTTATAGAATGTATAACTAGTATAAACATTTTTAGCAACATTGATGTAAATAATAGTAAAATTTCTTCTTATCAATTTTAACCTTAGCACTTCTTGTAAATCCATTGTACTTTTTTTAACCAAAGATGGATATTAAATGTTATTATTATCAATAATAAAATCTTCTAGGTTACCTATCCTAGCATTAAAGTCACCACATAACATGCAGAATGTTTCCATGAGCAGAAAATTCGTAAGCACTATTCTGAAGGTGTTATCGAAATGATCAATGTCTAGTCGAATTTCTCGTGAAAAATTTTGAGTTGTATGGTTACTTTGAATGAGTGCATTTAAAATGTTTATCATGTTCTTTAGCTGCTCTTGAATAACCCTATCTAGTCTATCACGTAAATGATAAATTGCAAAAATTGTAAAATTGGGCAGCGAGGGTCATCACTAAATCTCGAAGCTGGGCTGGGATAATCTTTTAACACGTTGGAAAAAGCATAAAGCTATACTGATGTTTAAAACAATTAACGAATTAACTAACTCCGCATTATCTCCGTGAATTGTTTGAATCTCGCAGCACAGGATATAATTAAGAAACTCTGGACACACCTTATTTGTGCCAAAACCACGAACGAACTACAGTAAACGAAGTTTTTAGTTATAGCGGGGAAGTGATGTGGAACGAGTTACCGCAAAATGTACGAGCAACATGCTCTCTCTAAGTCAATTCAAAAGAGCAATTGACAATCAGCTGTTCTCTATATAAATCAGTATTTTAGTGCTTGCATAAGTTTAAAGTGTATTAATTGTCATAGCTTAATTATAACCACATTATTATATGTTAGTCATAATCTCTTAGATTAGATTTCACCGTGTCAGTTAAATAAAGCTTTGATTGATTGATTGATTGATTGATCACTACCCTCCCTACCTTCGCTACCCTCGCCACTCTCGCTACCTTCGCTACCCTCGCTACCCTCGCTATCTTCGCTACCTTCGCTACCTTCGCTACCTTCGCTACCTTCGCTACCCTCGCTA